AATGGAGGTCAAGAATAGAATCTCTTTATTGAGGAAAGAAATCTCTGTCCCGAGTGGGTTGCCAAGGACCTCATCCTTTCTAGGGATTTTTATAGAGCAAAGCCACAAGGTGAGGTGGGTCTAAGGTGGGGAAAAATGGGAAATCACAAAGTGGGCATGAGGTGGAACAAAACTGTGATTAACCAGAGAGATTATGCCGGTAATTGCTCAGGGACTGTTCATTAATTTGAGATCAAGTGGGGAAGCCAGTCATGTAGTCGGCAGGAAACAGAACAAGGGCTTTTCCTGTGGGGGCTGGGTACTCTTCCTGGCTTCCTCAGGGTGAGGATACCTATTTACAATATCTACCCCTCATGCTTATCCTTAGGAAGTTTACTGGTACATTCGTTGCATCTTTTGTCTTGAGGTCTGGCCCTGAGGGGAAGTGTCTGTCTCCTCACAGTTGCTGGGTGTCTCCTCTGTCTTCTGCCCTGGCTCCTCGGAGGGCCCAGCCCTGTCAGACTGCCTAACATGTTCCTATCTAACTTAGCTGTCTCTAAGAGATTCTCAGCGGAATGTGAAACTGTGGGGCTGGTTGGCCCTGTTTCCACACCCTATACACACACACACACACACACAGAGAGAGAGAGAGAGAGAGAGAGAGAGAGAGAGAGAGAGAGAGAGAGCTGGGAGAGCACTGGTACACAGGAGAAGTCTCCCTGTGCTGACCAAACGGTGGCTTTCCAGTCACCTCCCCTGCAAAGTTGCAGGCCAAAAAGAGAACCTCACACGCTGTAAAAGCCTACATGGAAGGCTAGGGATATAGCTCAGCAGCACAAGTGCTGCCTGGCCAGTAAGAGGTTGTGCATTCAATCCTGGTACCAGAAACAAAAAACAAACAAACTGCATGGAGAGAGACAGAGCAGAGTGAGAGGAAAGAGTTCAAGAAAGAGAGGGGCTCCCCACAGACAACTCATCAGAGAAAAGGAATAGACATGTCCAAATCTCCAGGGCTGGAAAGGAGTACTGCCAGCCTGGTGGTACACACCTGTAATCCCAGCACTTGGGAGGCTGGAGCAGGAGGATTGCTGAGAGTTCAGGGTCAGCCTTGACTACATAATGAGTTCAAGGCCAACCTGAATGAAACGGTGAGACCCTGTCTCAAAAAACCCAAAAGTTGAAAAGAAATACTATATGAGTTATTTATCTAAACCTAACTAATCAGTAGGAAATAGCAGCTAACTTTCTGTTTACAAGCCAGACATGGGGGCACAGGCTTGTAATTCCAGCACTCTAGAAGGCTGGGGCAAGAGAATTGCGAGTTTGAGCCCAACTTGTGCAAATTAACAAGACACTATCTCAAAATTAAAACAACAAAAGGCTAGGGGTATAGCTCAGCATGAAGGCCCTGAGTTGAATCCCCAGTACTACAAAAAATAAAGAAAATAATTAAAGTTTTTAAAAGGCGTGGGGATGTAGTTCAGTGGGAAAGTTCTAGGTTTAATTCCCACTACTAAAGTGGGGGAAACCCTGTTTACAAATCTCAGTGTAAGAGTTCCAACCAGGCATGGTGGTGCACCCCTGTAATCCAGCACTCAGGAAACTGAGGCAGGATTGTGGGTTCAGTGCCACCCTTGCTTATTAGGTAAGACCTTGCTTGTCTCAAAAAACAGAATAAAGCCAAAAATAGCAACAGAAACAAAACCAATTTGCCCCTACCCAAAATAATCCAATATTATACATGTGTTAAGGATGTGTTTCTTTCTAGTTGCTTAGAAAGACAATCACGTGGTAGACAAGGGGCTACATATTCATCACATCTGAGAACTCCAGTGATCTTCAGAATGCAATTTAAGAGCTAGCTCTTTTTGTAGACTGCAGTCTTGCTAATGAAATAATGATTTACGTCATAAAATAACTTATATAAACAGTCATCTGATCCCCAAACTCCTTTTGGGGAACAAAAACCACAGTGGTCTAAAGGCTGAGAAGTCAGAAGGACTTAAACTGGACCCAGAGAAAATGAGATTTGCAAGGTTTCTCAGAGTGCAGCAGTGTTCTAGGAGGCAAGACAAATTTACAAAGATGAAATCTTCCAGGAAGCTGCAGGCCAGGGACAGGTGCTTGACTGATTGCACAACAACACAGTGCTGCCACAGAAGATGAGAGAAACTGCCAGTAAAAGAGAGAAACCACAACACCCAGAAAAAAAGACTAGAAAAGGCAGGCTCACACCTCAGTGTGGTGCTGTGACACCAATGAGCTGAGCAGCTAATCAGTGCTTATAAAATAAGTGCACTGTCAGCCACAACTGGTGGTACATAACTGTAACCCTTGCATTCTGGGAGGCTGAGGCAGAAGGACCTCAAACCTGAGTCCAGCCTGAATAACTTAGTGACTTAATGAGACTTAATGAGACCCTGTCTCAAAATTTTTTCTAAATGTAGCTTAGTGAGAAGGACCTGAGTTCAATCCCTAGTACAACAAAAACAAATAATAATAAAAAAAAATAAAATGAGCTAAGTACACAATGAAAAAATAACCATCAACTAATTGTAAAAGCAAGTTTGATTGCAGGAGACCTTAAACTCTCTCCTCAGGTTTAGTACTGGCCAGCTTTAAAATTCGAGTTATTTGGGAATCAGTTATTATATTTGAAAATCGGAGAGTAGAACGGATAACTAAAGTTCTGTACGAGGCATGGAACCCAACCTTAGAAACCTATCAGCTGCATTTGACGTGCTATGCTCCAAAATCTCAGTAGAGGGCGCTCACAGCAATGGCTATTTCCGGCCCTCGCCGGCGATTCCATTTTATTTCAGGAGTTACAGTACCAAATAAATCCACAAGGTGGCAGTAACACTTAGCCAAAAGAACTTCCAGAGGTGAAGTTGTTTTTTGTTTTGTTTTTTTTTAAGACTAGTCAAGTGCAGTAGTGAGAAGAGGGGAAAGAGTAGAACAGGGAGTTCAATCTGTACTGACTGTGAACAAGCAATTGAGATAACTCAGAGGTGAAGTTTTGAGAATGGATTCAGGGGCCTGTCTAAGGAAGGAGTCCCTTTGCCTGCTCTCAGGAAGCCACTGAGGCCCTGGAGCTGGGAGAACTAAGGCCACACAGGAGGCCTAAGAGTGAGGAGCTGACCTCCTGGAGAACCATAAATCCTTAGTTCCTGGTCTTCTCCAGAGCAAGCACAAAGCTGGCTCTGCTGCCTAAAGGGGCTTTGTGTTCTAGCCTTGCTCCTGGTTGATACAGAAATGTGACTTTGGCTCTGCTCTTTATAACTGAAAGTAAGCTGAAAAGACTTGATTTTACTTTTAAAATTATTTTATTTATTTATTTTTGAGCTGAGTTCTCACCATGTAGTTCAGGCTGCTCTGGAACTCTATATGTAACCCAGGCTGGCCTCAATCTTGCTGTGATCCTTCTGCCTCAGCCTCCCAAGTGCTAGGATTACAGGTGGGTGTTGCCACACACAGATTTGATTCATTATTAACATAGGACAATACGAATAATTTTCCTAGTCATTATTAAATAATGATTTGATAGCTACTGCGCCAGTGGCATATATTTTTCTTGCTACGTAAATAGCACATAGGAGCCCTTATCAGAGATACCAGCGTTCCATCCCCAGCACCTCAAAGTAAATAACGACATAGAGCAGAAGCATTTCCTAATGCTGTAATCTTAGTCAGGGAAACTTGAATTAGAAACAACAGAATTTTCTTTCAAACTGAGTTAAAAAGAAGAAAGAGATACAGATAAGTATTTCAAATAACCCAAAGACCAGAAATTTCATTAAATAATACGTAAGATTAGAATCAAGAACCAGAAAACTGTCGGGAATTAAAGCAATTACTCATAGAAGTTCAGCACCTTCATTCAAAACCCTCAAATGTGAAATGCTCCAAAATCCAAAACTTTTTGACTACCAGCAGGATGCCATAAGTGGAAAATTCCACACTTGAGCCCATCGGATGAGTCACAGCCAGAACACAGGCCCAATAAAAATACAAAGCCACCTTGGGCTATGCATGCAAGGAAGGTTTCTATGAAACAGAAGTGAACTTCATGTTTCAACTTGGATCCCTCATACGCAAATATTCCAGTCTGAAAATTCTGAAATCAGAAATATTTCTGGTCAGAGGCGCTCTGAATGGGGACCTGGATGTGTGCTTATTATTTTTCTCCCCACGGCATTGACACCAGAGTGCTGCCAGCTTCTGACTGGCTGTCTCACCTCTTCCCCTCTTCAGCTCCTAGAGTCACACATCCCCAGCTTTAGTGACCAGAAGAGATGGATCAACATCTTTGATTCCTGATTTCTGATCTTTGAGAGACTTAGACCTGGCCTGCCTGCCTGCCGTTACGACTACGCATGAACAAGGTGGTGATTATCAAAGGAGAATGTTCTGAGACATGCAGGTGATGACCACATTAAAACACTTTCCTGGAAGATTAGAAAAACAAATGATTCATTTACAGAAAGTTGGTGAAGCTTGTAGTTCTGTCACTGAACTCTTTCCTAGAGTGTGCAAAGCCCTGGGTTTGACTTTCAACCATGCAAAATCAAAAAACCACACAGAACAAAGAAAAACAGAAAAAATGTGATTTATAGAATATCAGGATGAAATTCTAAATCATTCTAAATGTGTCACATCCACATCGTTCCCCACCCATGGCGATAAAAATAAGACACAGTGCAAGGTGCTGATTTTTAGTTTTTCACAATATTTGAAATCAGGCCAGAATTAGAATTTTTGCATTTACGTTTATAATATATTTACACTTTATCTGAGTACTTTTAATATGAACTGCTTTTTAAAATGTGTCTTTGGCCAGGGATATAGCTCAGCAAAGCTTTATCACTTTGCTGAGCTATATCCTGTAAAGTGAAGGTCCTGAGTTTCACTTCTGATACCAAAAAAAGGAAAACACTGTGCCTTGCTCCTAAAGCATGAGTAGAAATACACTCAGAATCACAGAAAACTACTTCAATTTTTTTTCTAAGACAAGTTCTCACCGTGTAGTTCAGGTGGCCTCAAACTCACATTAGTCATCCTCCTCCTTTAGCCTCCCAAGAGCTGGGATTATAGGCATGCACCCCCATGCTCAGCGTGAAATCTGACAGCTAGAAAAATTTCTTAATAAAAGCAGAGTCACTGAAACAAGTTGCCATCTGCAGTGAGCACTCCTGTCCTGGAAAATGTTCCTCAAGTTTAAAAAAAAAAAAAAAAAAAAAAATATATATATATATATATATATATATATATGTCTTCATATCAGCAAAATTCAAAATAAACATCTTCAAGCTGTTTACAAATAACTTTTACTATTTCATCTAGCAAAACAAAACTAGAAACATTACCAATGTATTCAAATGCAAGCTATACTCAAAAGCTAAATTGCGTACTGCCTAAACCCGACGTCAGTGAATCTCTCAGGGCAGAAGGGCTTGTTTAGACAGACCACTGCCTGCCCTCCTCCTCCTTCCCTTCAACTTTCTGATTTTCTGACGTGAGGCGATAAGGCCCAGTGCTGCTGGGCTGGGGTTGCACTTTAAGAATCCTTGCTCTAAGGCCCAGGCAGAGAAACTATGTCTAAGTGATGTTTTTTAGGCTCATAGAGAGTTCTAGCAACCACAATAAAAGGCACCAAAAAATCATGCGCAAATAAACAGCAAAATGTTTCACTGGTCCGGTTCTCAGGGTCCTTGTTTACTGCACTTAAAGCCAGGATAACATGCATGTTAGCTTTCCTGCTACTGGAAGGAAATACCTGACATTCTCGATTTAAAGGGGACCAGGTTTGATTTGGCTCATGGTTTGGGGGGGTTCAATCCACGATTAGCTGGCTCCTAGGCAGAGACAAGCTGTTTCCTTCATGGCATCAGCCAGGAAGGAGTCGGGGACCTTGTTTTGTGCCCACAGTCATGGCTCCATGACTACCCAGACACACCCAGAAGTGTGTGCTTTATCGCCCCTGAGGCAACTCCAACAGCAATCAGGTTGACAGTTAACCTCAAGCTCATCACAGTGTTATGGTTGAAAGAACTAAAAACACATACATGCCCTGGGCGTACTGGTGGATGTGTGACCCCAGCATGTGAGGGGTTGGGGGCTCAAGTTCAAGACCAATTTGGGCAATCTGGTGAGACCCCATCACTAAGTAAATAAAGTTAAAGGTTCTGGGGACAGCTCAGTGCAAAGGCCTTGTGTTAATAAATTCCCTACTACACCACCAGGGGGATGTATATATTTCACAACAGACACCACATGCTCTGAATGAAAGCTTGAAAGCTAGAGTCCAGGTTAGCCAAGAGTATCTCAAAGACACTGCAGGCTTGATCCCGAAATCATGACAAAGCAAGTCACAGAACTCACCAATGCGTATAAAATTTGTTTACTCGGTCCTCTAATCTGCTCAGTGTGGAATAACATTATCTCAAAAAATGTATGAATCTTAATTGTAGAAATGTTTTTGTACAGCCATGCATATGGGCACATCCCTGTAATTCTAGTATTCTAGGAGGCTGAGGCAGGAGGCTTGCAGCTCAAGCAACCTTAGCAAGACCCTGCTTCAAAATGTAAATGGGAAGTGGGTGTAGGGGACATAGCTCCTTGTGAAAAGTCTTGGATTCTGTCCCCAGTATCTCCATAATTATATGTTTCAGTGCAAAAAAAAAAAAAAAAAAAAAAAAAGTTAATGTTCTTCTAAACCTTCAGAAAATCATCATCTTTTGGCTTGCAGGGGTCTTGTCTCCAGGTTGATGGCTAGTAAGGACTGGGGGTGACTGTGGCAACTTCTTAAAAAATAAAAGGGAGAAGAAACGATGAACCAAAGTTGGTTGCTTTGCTCGGTTTTAGTTTCTCATCCCTGAGACAGAGCGCCCAACACCGCAACTCAAAGCAAGTTGACTGGGGCTCAGTCTGTAGTCAGCTGGCACCAGGGCAGGGACAGCTGGGGAAGGGGCAGCGAAGACCTTTGAGGTCAGCCCATAGTGATGCCGGCTCCCACAGCGCCCCACCCCGGCAGCAGTCAGCCTGACACCAGCTCCCCCGAGACGCAGCCACAGGTGCTCAGGTGGTAGCAGGTCGGTCCAGGCACTGTGTCCTCTGCCCATGCGCTGTGCTGTTCCCACCCATCACATTGTCCCTGCTTCCCCTTAAGTCGTGAATGCCCCCCCCACCAATCACCCTCGCTGTTGGAATCAGCTTCTTCCAAACTCTCCTTCAGGCTGGTATTGTGCACCCTTTTCATAAACCATGCGTGTTCTCATGAAATCTGGAATGGTGGATTTTTCTCTGGAAGGTTTTCAATTTACTTTGTCCAGTTCCTTCAGAGTGATCAGTTGTGGCAGCCACTGAGTGTGTGAGTGTGTGTGTGTACGTGTGCACGTGTTGAGGACTGAGCCCAGAGCCTTCATACTGAGCTCCATGCCCAGGACTTGCGGTCCCCACACACAGCACGCAGGCAGGGTGTTCAGAATGGCCAACAACACTAGCTTCAACATAAGCCGTACTGACTCCTAATGAGGGAGGCCAGACACCAACTTCTCCTCTCCAGCTCTGAGTGTTTAAGCAGCATCTCCATCCAGCAGCATCTCATGGCCACCTTTCTCAAAGATGTTAGCTCAGTCCTCCGGATAACCTTTCATAGCTTCTGCATCCTTGTGTCCTCCACTTCGAAGTTTTGTGTTTTGAAGACAGCTTCTGTCCTTACACCTCATATGCCAACCCCTGCTAGCTTCGGGCTTTTCTTCTGTGGCTTCCTTATCCTGCTCTGCCTCTGTAGATTGGAAGGGAGTAGAACCTTGCTTGCAGGTCTGACTTACAGAGATAATGTGGCTGGTTTAATCTTATTTCCAGGCACTAACATTTTTCAACGTCTGCCAGATGTGGTGGTGCATGCCTGTGAACCCAGCACTCAAGAAGATTGCCATGAGTTCAAGGCCATCCTGGGCTACAAAGAAAAAAATTTAGTTTGTTTTGTTTTGTTTGAGTCAAGGTGTGTAGTTCAGGCTGTGGCCTTGAGCTCACTATGGCGCCCAGGTTGGCCTTGAACTCGCAGTGAGCCTCACAGTATTTATCTTGCTTCATGCTCATAGAAAGCATGCTAGCTTTCCCACCTGCCACCCAAAACCATTACAAAAGAAACACCACCAATCACCACAGTAGGTACAATAGAAAAGGCTTGGGTGTGCAAGAGTTATCAAAATAGGACTCAGAGACGTGGAGTGAGCAAATGTTGCCGGTAAAGTTTTAACCTGCAGAATCTGCAGTAGCTGCAAAGCATGGTAAAGCAGGACAGGTCTGCTGGAGTCAAAGGGGAAAACAGGCGCTCAAACGGTCACGTGCTTAGAAGTGTGGTGGAAGGCAACTGTGACAGGTTTATTCAGCAGCCTCCCCAGAATTGAAGACAGGTCTGCCATCTACTAATGCAGAATCTGAGGCTGCTGGGTCCACTGTACACTGATTTTCAAAATACCTTGAAATGTAGCCCAGGCTGGCCTCGAACTCACAGCCATTCTCTTGCCTCAACCGCCAAGTGCACCACCATGCCTGGCCAGGATACCTACGGGAACCACTGCTGAGAACACTTTCAGACAGTGTTGTAGTCACTGTCTGAAACAATTTAATACAGGACATGTAATTTATAGGATTATTTTATAATATTCACACATAGAGTCAAATGCAAAAGAGTGCTATCTGTCCACACACTAGAGACCCAAAGAATCCATTTTGGTTCCTGGATCCCACAGTACGAGGCTAGCTGAAGACCTAGAGCCCATGTAAGTGTCCTCTACTGAGGACCACAAATTTACAATTGCTAAATTGGCATATTTCCCTATGGGGTAAAAAGGAGGTTTGGGATTGTTGGTACCACCCATCTGAGATTTCCCATTGACTCTTCTAAGTATAAGATCATATATGCCTTCTTGAGTCATCCCAGGATTACACTCAAGGTCAAGACACTTATCACATGATCATCTACACCCTCTTGAGTCTGAGTCTTCTGATGAACTGTAATCCTTTACCAGCCCCACCTATCACTATAGACACCTAATAAACAGTGGCTGCTTTGGGAGTAGTGGAGGATCCATCTGGAGATACTGACTTCCCAGCCATCAACATAATCTAGTTTTTTGTCTTTTTATTTTTCTTGCCATATTCTTAAGACAATCAGGACTCTTGGCCAGGCTCCCAATAGTCCTCCACAAGTCCAGCTGGAGGCCCAGAGCCCACAACAATGTCTCATACAAGTCTGTATCAAGAACCCACAGTGGGAAGGCCAAAGGTCAATGGTGGAAGCCAGAAAGTCTGAGCCAAAGGGTAAAAGATCTGAGCCAGCAGACTGAGGGTTCCTCACTGCAGCCAGGAAGCGATGCTCAAGTTAAGGATCAGAGCACTCCTGAAAAGAACTGCAGCCATCCTCAGAGATAGTGAGGTTCTGACCCCCTCCAATGATGAAAACAGCCAAGTTCACATCAGGAAGATCAGCACAGCACACTTCTCCAGGAGAATCAACAGCCCAACCTTTCCCCCTCCTTTTATGTTGATGGCAACAGCTCTCAGGTGGCCTTCCACACCCAGCACCACGCTGAATTAAGTTCAGCTGAGTGTTACAAGTTGACCAGCAGCTGTCAATCCACCACAGTTAGCATAATTAGGACTAGCACATAGTGGGCATTTGGGGTTAATACTTACCTTATATTAGGGTCTTGGTGTGTGAAGGGAGATGAATTCATGTAACTGTCATGACAGCCCTGGGGTTCATTATCGCTATAAACATCATTGCAACTATAAGAATAACAGAATGGAGAGATCATTCAGGCAACAATTCAAACTCAAACTCCAAGAGTTGGAGGCCAAAAACTATAGCCATGAACTTTCTATTTGTCTCATTTTTATTTTTATTATATATGTTGGTGTCACACGGTGATTGCATTCATCAGGAGGAATTGATTCATGTACAAATCACATCCTAATTTTTTTGCCCCTTTTTTCCCCTTTCTACCCTCTTTTTTTGCCAACATGAGATTCATTTAACAATGAATATGTAAATGTTTCTGAAATCATTTTCCTCCTCCCTCTCTAACATTTCTCCAATCAAAATATTATTTGTAGGTGAGGCATGATGGTACACACCTGTAATCCTAGCACTCTAGGAGGCTGAGGCAGGAGGATTAGAAGTTCTAGCCCAGCCTGGGCGAT